TAGACACCATGGAGCCAGTTCCAACTCATAGTGACCCTAAGTACAGCCGAAAGAATCACTGCCAAGTTTTCACAGTTGTTCTTCTGTTTGAGTCCATTTTTGCAACCACTGTGTCCATCCATCTCACTGAGGGCCTTTCTCTTTTTTGCTGTCCCTCTACTTTGCCAATCATGCCATCCTTTTCCAGGAACATGTTCAAAGGATCTGAGATGCAATCTTCTTACCTTACTTCTAAGGAATAGTCTGGCTGCATTTCTTCCAAGACAGATGTCTGCTCTTTTGTCTGGTACTTCCATTACCCTTCACCAGCACCACAGTCCAAAGACGTGACTTCTTCTTCAGCCTTCCTTACGCAATGCCCAACTTTCACATGCGTATGACACCACTGACAGTGCCATAACTCGAGTGAGACCCACCTTGAGTAACAGCCTTGCATTTCAACACCTAAAAGAAGACTTATTCTGCAGATTTATCCCCTTCAATGCAGTTTGATCTCTTCACTGCTGCGTCCATGAGAATTAATTGTGGAATCAATCAAGATTCATGTCCTACGTGTCTATTATGAAATGAATTCGTCTGGTAGATGGTGTCCTGTCATTGCAAATGAATATTATTGAAAGTTTTTCTCTTTCACCAACCCCCGTTGTTTGTGTAAATTGTGTCCAGTCACTTAAGGGTTTAATCTATCCAAGTCAACATTTTACGTATTATAATTTATAGCCAGTCTATACTTGTATAATTTGATTTTCTCAACAATGTTTTAAATTCTACACCACTGATTAAACTAATGACACTCTATTTTCAATTATTTTATGCACCAGGGGGATGATTGATATTGTTCTCTGCATTAAAATGATCATGTTGTCTCTAAGGTGAACTGGAGACATATATAAACTATAGGCATGTGGATGGATTCTGGTTCACATTTAATTCTAGCTCCAATATAAGAACAGTTATTTTTTATGACATGGCTCTGATAGATGCCTGCCCTCATGAAGAGATCACTGAAGATATGAGTGTGACAGCAAAGTATGGGAAGAGACTAGATAGTGTTTGGCTATTCGTAAGAATAGCATCTGGGGTCTTAAAGGCAAGGTCTTCAAGCAAGCACCCAACTAAATGAGCCATCAATGAAGTCCACATGGAAGAAGCACATCAGTCGGTGATACCAGGACTATAAATAATATAATCCAAATCAGAAGAAAGGAATGGTATCACCTGGTTTGCAAAAGGCTATGGATGACCGTGGAAGCCCAAAGAACATTTGCAGGGTCTACACATGGATTAAGACTCCAGTGAATTCCCTCTGACCATAATCAAATGATATGCATAGCTTTGTTATGAGAGCATTTAAAGTTGATTAAGGCAGGCATAATTAAGTTAAAATTTAATATCACTTAATGATATTAATGTAATATAACTTAATGATTACATTACATATAAAATGTAGTATGACTTGATCCCCCATTTGACCCATTTTAAAGTTGTTTCAGTTTTTTTAAAAAGTGAAAGGGAAATACACATGGATTAAACTTTAGGTGAATCCCCTAACTGTAGACCAGGGATGTTATCATGCAAAATGCATTGGAAAATATATTATTAAAGATGTAGTTAGGTTAAAATTTACCACCTTATCATTTGATTTCCATTTTTCAACCATTTAAAATTTATTCTAGTTTTGAATATTTTCTGAAGCTTTTTTTTTATTGAGGTTTTTCTGTTTCACTTTGTTATTGTCATTAGGTTTTTTGTTTGGTTTTGGAGCTTTTACATGTTTTTCTGAAGATAAATACAGATAGATGAATTCCTATAGAAACAGTAAATGGATTAATAGTTTCTTGGGGCTAGTACAGAAGGAAAATGGTAAGCCAATAACAATGCATGCAAGGAAGAAGAAAATGTTCTAAAAAATGAATTATGGTGATGATTGTACAACTCTTAGTGATATGATTGAATTATTCAATTGTATGATATGTGAATTAGATGCTAATGAAATTGATAAAAAACCAAACAATGAAATCCTTGCCAACTTTGTCATGACTGTATCTCTTGGAACAGCTGTGAGATTTCAGTTTGCTCACTGATGGTGAGGTGAAATTACTTGGAATGGTTCTTCTATGTTTTAGTAACTCCCACCAAATGATCAGGTGAGAACATGGAAATAGAGTGTGTGAAACACTTAATATGGGAATTGTTCAGTTTTGCTATTTTGCTGAGTTTAAAGGTGAACCACCTCAGAAGCAGAAGCAGAAATGGAAGGTACCCTACAAGCATTAAGAAAGAGGAACCATTAATAGAGTTCTTTCAAGATCCCTGAAGTGATAAGGCACAGAGGCAGGCCATAGCACCAAGACCACAAGGCAGAGCAGAAAAGACCATGAGACAGAGCAAAGAAACTTTGCTTAAGATAGAGCAAAGAAACAGTATGCAGACCATGAAAAGAATGGGCAGAGGCCAACAGACCATATGGCTGAGAGGTCGAGAACCAGAGAGAGAGATATCTGCCAGTGTAACTGAGAAGAAGCAAGGCAGACAAAAGAACAATATTGTTACCATTTTGTAACCTGTTAGCCTCCCAAATAAATCACCATAGTTGTCAATTTTATCTGTGGGTTTGTGTGGTCATTGCAACAGATTATTAAACTGAACAGAGAAATATAGTGCTGTGCAAGGACAAGTAAGAGTCAGATTAGTGTTAAAAGGAATGGAGAGCGGAGGCATGTCTGATTTCTACCTCCTGTCAGACATATAGCAACCCTACAAGACAGGGTAGAATTGCCCTTAAGGGTTTCCAAGACTGTAAACTTTTACAGGAGTAGAACACCTCATCTTTATTTTGTGGAGCTGGCTGGTAGTTTCAGACTGTTGACCAATGCAGCCCAATGCATAACCACTACAGCACCAGAGCTCCAATGTCAGATCAACTGAGTGCAATATTTTAAAATTTCAAGCTTCTGTTCATCATTGATTACAATGGAGATAATAGGAAAATTTACAAAACAAACCTTGTTGACAATTCAATTCTGACTTATGAAGACCCTGTGTATATCAGAGAAAAACTGTGCTTCATTGAGTTTTCAATGACTGTGAGCTCCAAGACTTTCTTCCTTGGTGCCTTGGGGTGGATTCAAACTGCCAACCTTTTGGTAAATAACTAAACTCCTAAGCATATGTCACTCAAGGATTCCTGGAGACAATAATAACCCCCAACCAAAAGGCTTTGAGGACTCAATAAGGAGTGTCTGGTACATAGTTGGCTGCTCAACTAAATTTATTTAATCATCTGCTAATATAGCTATAAGCCCAGACAACCAAACTCACTGCCATTGGGTCAATTCCAACTTCTAGTGATCCTGTATAAGGTTCCCGAGGCTGCAAATCTGTGTGGGAGTAAACATACTGATCTTTGTCCCGTGCAGTGCCTGGTGGATTTGAATTGCCCAACTGTTGGATCGCAGTCCAGTGCACCACTATCGACATGTCTGAATAAAAAGCTACAATGGTTCTTTAATATATCTATAGTGGCATTTCTTTTGTTTTCTTTTCTCAATGACTTCATTTTCTTTCAGAAACCTTTAAAAATATTTATCCTTTTAGATTTTGCCTTCTTAATGCTTTCTCATGCAAACTTGCCTCTGTACAATGGAAAGAAACTTGGGAGTTGCCCCCTCTTTTCATTCCCTAGATCTCACTGATCTCAGGGTACTATAGATCAATTTCTTAATAAGCCTTGTTATGGAATTGAATTTTATCCCCAGAAAATCAGTGCGCTGGGAGCATATATCTGTACATCTAATCTCATATGGAAATCGGGTTATCTTTGCTATGTTCCTGAAGCCTTAGCAGTGTACAATGTGTCTAAATCTAATCACTGTTGGGTAATAGGAAGCAGGACTCAGGATCCAAGAAACAAAAATGGAAGATAAGTGTCATGTGCCAAGGAACTCTCCCTAAAACCTACAGAGGGAAAGCCTTCCCCTAGAATCATTGCCTGGATTCCCAACTCATTTGCTCCGAAACTGCTTGGAAGTCATTCAAATGTGGCACTTACGTAATAGCAGTTTAGGAGACTAAGATAGTTATTTTGACTCCTTTTTCTTTTCACCCTCTTACAGAAACAGAAACTGCCCTAATCCAAACTACTCTGGTCTCACTTAGACTGTGGAAATCACCTCCTGTTTTCCTCTTACCTGTTCCCAGTCTATCATTCACACATCAGCCAAAGTAATCTGTGTAAATGTCTTTCATTTACTTCTACCTTGGGGAAGGCTTCTTGGCCTTGGATACAACTCTTGGAAAGTCTCAGTTTACCTTTCTCTGACCCATCTTGCACATCTTCTGTTATGCTGCTTTGTTCCTGTCCCAGAGCTGCTTCTTGTTCTTGCTCTCCTGCTAATTCCTACTCATATTCCAGGTTCCTACTTAGATATTAATAATTAAAAGATAGTTTCCCTGACCTCCATTCCACCCATTAATTTAAATTTAATTAATTTTACCCTTTAGTTTCATTGTTCTCTCCCAGCACCTTGTTTTCTTTTAATATCCTAAGTTATAATTTTTAATTGCATATTTACTTGTGGGCTTACATATTTAAATCTTATCTGTACTGTTAGCACCACTACCCATTTGAACCCCTGCAATGAGAAACATGTCTTTATCCAACTTGTTAATCATGCATGTCCTACATACAGCAGGTCCAGGACCATAGTAGGTACCAGAGACCAGCTTTGTGTTTGTACTTAGCATTTACCCCATATTAAGTGCAGTATTTAAATAATTGTTTCACCAACAGAAGTGATCTATTTTGAATGGCTTTGGAAGGGTGGGCATAATTCGATCATGAATCTCAGACAGACTAACATTACCAAACAAGAACTGGTTCTCAAGGGGTGGGAGTCTGCTAATGCAGGGGTTACCAAGAATAAAATCAGGAAGAAAATGGACATTTAGGCTACAAGGAGTTTAAATTATCAATTATTCCAAAAAGACAAAGCAGGTACCTGTGGGTAATCTTCATGGTACAGCCGTGGCACTAAGCTCACCATGATACATACGATGCCGGGGTGCGTTATCACAACATCACCTTCTTCTATCCTGCGGAGAGTGGGGGGTGGGGGAGAGAAAGACGTCATTTTTCAAAATACTTTCAAATCTCTTCACAGGTTTCCTGGATCTTTCTAAGATAGGCTTGAATACACATCCATGGTCTACCATTTATTTTTGATATGGCCTTGAACTAAATAATCTGAACCTAATTTTCAATTGAAAATAGAATAATATCATATGTTCCTCAGAGTGACTTACAGAATAATAATTTATGCTCTAAGGCACATTGTCTGAAACAGAGTTGAGGTTCAGTGGAAGTTTTTCTCTGGTTTTCATTTCTTCTCTCCTGTCTCAGATAAATGGAAGATTGAAAAGCCCTCATTTTACATTAAGCATACCCCACACTTTTATATCTGATCAAGATGGTGGAAGTGTACTCCATTATGTATCTCTTACCTACTGATTGTATTCAAAATCCTTTGACAACTTGCATGTAGCAGCTACCTGGTGGCTCTGAAAAGTAAACAGTCAGGAAAAGAAAGCCAGAACTCAAAGTACCATGGAACTATCGAGACATTTTCTGGAATTTTTCCTCTGTTATCCTCTACCGGGCCCTGGTGGCTTAGTGGTTATGCATTAGGTGCTCCACAGGAGAATGATGGGGCTTTCTACTCCTGTAAACAGTTAGTCTTGGGAACTCACGGGGACAGTTTTAACCTGCCCTATAGAGTCATCATGAGTCAGCATTAACTTCATGGCAGTGAGTTTGAAAGTGAGTTTAATATCGCCTAATGTGGGCTCAAGGGTAGCCTGATACCTGAAACGGTGCAATAGATGAAGACCAGACAGAAAGAGCTGCAAGAGAAACCTCTATTTCTGTTCTAAAGACTAGAAAAGAAGCACCTAAATATCAGAGAGGAAAATCTTTGAATTTTCTTAGTGAATACTCCTTTCTTTTCCAAATCAATGTACAGGCAATCTGATATCAGCATTAACACTGAAAGTAGGAGTGATAAGATAGATGCATAAAAATACTCGAAGAATTCTAGAATATGGGTGGAATTCCCCTAGCTTTATTTTTTTTTCTCTCTTATTCTTCCACCTATTGGTCCCAGTGACAAATATAGGGAATTTACATCTCAGCCTTCTATAAAAAAAGCCAGAAGCAGACTCTAGAAACATGTTGAGGAGGTGCAGAAGAGGAGGAGACTTTACAAATTAGAAGTTTACATTTCACATTAACTTGGGTTCAATGCTGAGCTGTGTGCATGGATGTGTCTCGAAACCACATTTCTTTGATAACTGGAAAATAGCATGTTTTCACAAGGGCTTCTATCCTCATAGTTGGCAACTCAAAACCACCAGCAGCTCCTTGGGAGAAAAACTGGGCTCTCTACTCCTATAAACATTTACAGTCTCATAAACCCACAGGGAGTTGCTATAAGTCAGCATTGATTTAGACAGCATTGCTTTAGCATTGATTAAGCAGCTAGTTTGATTTTTGGTTTACTACCCAAGACATTAGGTAAATGAGGGATC